GAGTTTCAGAGATAAAAAAAATCCACTTTCTTATTCCCCCAGGTTTAAATGAAACAAACAAGACACATTTAATTAATATATTGGGGAATTCATTCCCTCACTTGTGGACAATTTAATACCTCAACCTTTTTAATTCCAACACTGACACACATCTTTTTTTTCTATTAACCGACATTTGTGATGCATTGAGAGGTATGCGGAAAATCGCCTAATCCTACGAGTGTCTGTTCTCATTTAAGTCTGCGTGATCTTATTAGGTTTGAGGAAATGCAAACTTCTCTGGTGATCAACCTTGAGCAAGTTGGATCATCGTGCGCTCGCTGAATCAGCACTTGAACAGTCCAATTTGTTCAAATTAAAATTTAATGGGTGAGCAGGTACGGAACACTTTTCAATTATGTTTTGCTTTAAGTCTTCATCTAATAAGAAAAAAAAGCAACCAACAAACATACAAACAAAAGGGAGGACATCCGTCATGTAAGCACTCCCTTTACTCAAATATGAAAAATTATGTTTTACCTACACACACACCCACAAGGATGAAAACACATAGCTAGCAGCGGCTGTGTGCCTAAACGAATGCGATTTCACATTATCATAAATTAAAGGCTCATAAACTTTCTTCAGAGGCCTTTTCTGATTGTAATAAAGAACCTCTCTTCCTGGATACATGTTTTATTCAACATTTGGATATGCTCAATTAGCAGCCCTAATTAACGATAGCTGTACGGGAGGGAGGGATGAGCAGAGGAGATCAGAGGTGGAGGAAGAGGGTGGGGACGCTGAAGGGGATGGATTTGAAGGGGGTGGGGTGAACGGAAAAAATGTATATGAGGGGTTTCAATTGTGAATACAATTGTGTTTGTGGGTGGTAAAGTACTGTACATACACACTTTCTACACTGCAGAGTGAACATATGTTTTATGGTTTATCATTAAAGTAATTTAACATGGAACACACAAGCAACAACCAATTATTGTATTTCCAAAGACCTTCTAGAGATGACTGTGTCTGCCTATTACTGATAACCCTCAATGGTGGCACGTGTTGCAGAAATGTTGGCATTACCAGAAAGCCGGTCTGGCAGAATTATTCGCCCAACTGCTATCAGACTGCTTTGTTACACAGCTGTGCTTTGTCATCTGTGCATAAACTGCATGTTTTTTTGTCATTTCTG